ACCAGACCTTTCTCAGGCCTTCCAGCAATGTTCAAGCCTTCTTCTAATGAAATTGCTTTAACATTAACGCCGAACGATCTCCTCTAATAGCACGGCGAGAGTGCATCCGCCGTTTCCTCGAAATTTTCCCGCGTTTCGCGCGGACTGTATTATCATCGCCAATCCCGGATAATTGCTCGTGATTTAAAACGCACGCGCGGGCTCGTTGATCCTATTGTTTCGCCAGCAAGATTCCCGGAGGTCGATGCAATTTCGTTAATTGGCTCGGCCGGAGTTTTGTCGTTGCGTAGCGTTCGACGAAACGAATCGCGCAGCGAAGCTGGTCCCTCGCAATGATGTTCAGGACTATGAAATTGAACGGATCGCCCTCGACGGGATTGCCCGGAATAAACGAATCGGAATTGGCTATTGTTTCCGAACGGCGCAGGGACACGGGCCGATATTTGTACAAAGAAATTGTCGCGAGTGGCACTAAATAAATACAATCGCGTTGTTCTCCGTAAGACTGTCTGTCGTAGGGTCACAATTGCCCTTAGTACGCACTGTACACACCTGCTCAAATAGAGCACCTGTTTAGCTGAACGGGAACCACGCACCGTCTGCAGATCGATTTACTTCCCTTTGTAAGATGCATTGTGCATGTCGCTAATGACGAAACAGAGCATAGAGTGGTAGCATGTCGCAGGCGAGTCTAAACTTGACAATGATGGAAGCATTGTACATTTAAGGACGCTGGTAACAAAGGGAGAATCTAAATTAATAATCGTAGCAGCTAGCAGTGACAGCGACTGCAGTCTCGTTGCCGACTAGCGTGACGATAATGGAAGAAGAGTACAAAGGCTGAGAGATTTCTGACTATCGGAGCTGGCGATGGCGATAGACGTACAAATAAAAGTAAAGACGACACCAAGCGAACGTAGGAATAATAGAAAGGGAAATAATGACTGTAGCAAAAAATGTCTTTACCATCGTGGAACTGGTATAGGCGATAGGTATAGTCATTGAAATAGTAGCCCCGGCAAGACAGCGAGAATTTTAAAAGCTATTCCAAGCGACGCGAGCAAAGTTTATTGGAGTGTTTATAAACCGCGTTTCGAACAAGGGGCGTCTTATTGGTCCCGTCATACTTCGAAATCGGCTTTCAGACGCTGCTTATCTCAATTTTATAGCGAATACATTACCCCAGTTCTCAGAGGGTCTTTCCTCGAAAGATTATCGACGCGGTACATGCGCGTAGGGTCTGTGCGTAATTCGAGAAAACGCTTAACCCCCTCGACGTACGATTTAATTCCAAATAATTGTTGGAACGTACAATATTTGATTTTATTTCAATTTGCTCGTGCAAGGAATAGCTACGAAGAAGAATAGATTTGTTTAACGAATACCTCGCGAATAGTAAAAATGTGTTGATATTAATATATAGGCACAGTAGAGGTATACGAGTAGACTTTCACCTTGTGGACTTTCGTGGGCTAATCTGACTGCTATATGTACAGACTTGAAAATTCGGAGGTGACTTTAGAGTGAGATCAGTTGAGAAACTATTCACTGAATTAGTATTGATGAGCAGACAGCTGATGTCTGTGGATAAATACATTTGAGTTGACTATGGAAGGAATTAAAAAACACAATTTTCAAACGACTATAATTCCTGCAATAGTGTATGTATTACATTGAACTATATTTTTGAAGTAGAGATCATAAATACCTATACAAAAATATCAGACAACATTTCCGTAGGCAGTCATACAAATTTATTAAAAATCAAAAACGAATTTTTAAGAAAAATCGACAGGAGGTAGGTGCCCAAATTTCTCGACTAAAAAAAAAATTTCAAATCGGCCTGAAAAAATTATTTTTAGTTGTGGGGGTTAATTACAATCATTTTTGGTGAATGGACACACCCCCCGAAATCCTACGCACTTTCGAGAAAAAAATTCTAGTAGGTGAACAAAGTTGACAAAATTAAAAAATTTCAAATCTTTCTAAAAAAATTATTTTTAATTGCAGGGGCCAATTATAATCATTTTTGGAGAATATACATACCTCTGAAATCCTACTCACTTTCCAGAAAAATATTCGAGACGTGTGAAATTTTTCGACAAAATTAAAAAAGTTCAAATTGTTCTAAAAAAAATATGTTTGGTTGCAGGGGTCGATTTCAATCATTTTTGGTTAATAGACATGTCCTCGAAATCCTAACCTTTTTCGAGAAAAAAATTCCTTACAAAAAATATAATGTCTGACCATACATTGATATGTTTCACTGAAATTTCATGCGTATCTTTAAAACGTCATAACTTCCGAACGGATTGAAGGATTTTAATGTTTCAAAAAGCAAACAATGCGTATTTGGGCGTAGAATATGAAGGAATTCTAAGAACATTCGAAAAGTTATTCCTTAACCCCGTAATGTGAGAAAAACTCTATAAAAATGGTTCAATTTCAAACGTCCATAACTCCTACACTAGTGAATATATTTGAATGAAATTTTTTTCTGAAGTAGAGCCCATTAGTACCTACAAAAAAGTATTAGACAGCTTTTCCGTGGCGCGTCATACAAAATTACTAAAAATCAGAAACGAATTTTTAAGAAAAATCGACAGGAGATAGGTGTCTAAATTTTTCAGCGAGAAAAAAAAATTACAAATTGTTCTAAAAAAATTATTTCTTGTTGCGGGGGTCAATTACAATCATTTTTAGTGAATACACATACCCCCGAAATTCTACGCACTTTCGAGAAAAAAATTCATTACCGAAAATATAATGTCTGACCAGGAACATTCTACTGACACTCTTCGTCGAAAAAAAATTTTTTCAAATTGTTAAAAAAAAATTATTTTCGGTTATGGGGATCAATTACAATCAGTTTTGGTGAATAGACACACCCCCCGAAATCCTACGCACTTTCGAGAAAAAAATTCGAGTAGATGAACAAAGTTGACAAAATTAAAAAATTTCAAATCTTTCTAAAAAAATTATTTTTAGTTGCTGGGGTCAATCATAATCATTTTTGGCGAATACTCATACCTCGGAAATTCTACGCACTTTCGAGACAAAAAATTTCTAATGGAAAATATAATGTGTTGCCTGGAATGTTTCTGTAATTTCACTTTCTGTTTCACTTCCTCTTATGCTCATTTATGTATTCCGTTGGTAATGTTGCGAGTGAAATGAAAATTGTATTGGGGCTGTAGAACACCAGAAAAATGGGCCGAAAAAATACATTGGATGCGAGGTCTACTTGTATACCTAGTCTCTGATATAAGACTCGACAATAAGTGTATTGTCATTGTTCGTCGATTGATTGCAAGCATTAGATTAGTTGCACGTCTCTTTTACAGAAATATTTTTAAGTACTTGCAACGCAGAATCAATAATAGAAATAATAACAGCGTGCCCCGGGCATTAGCATAACGATCCACGACATCGTAATTACCGCCACTCTTCTTGCAATTTTGATTTCACGAAGATAGGCTCGAAGCGAGACTCCGATTTCACAACGGGTGGAACGCACGCGAGCCGCTCTAATTGCTTTTTAATTACGCAGTCGTTGACCACTCGAGTCGGCGCGGTTGCTCCGGACGACGGAGATTCCGCGGCAAGTGTTCGTAACTCGGATTTATGCAAACAGCGAGGCAATATTGTACCGCAAGTGGCCCAGGTAGCAATCGACTCTCCGGTTCCGTTGCCGCGAAGTATCTCCGAGCATCGTCTAAGAACAGTACTCCCAAGTGTCTGAGTTTGCTCAAATGTCAAAGACAACTTCAAAGTCTCTTCGTCTAACCCATCGCGGTCGAGTTGGAATCTTGCGCATCGTGGTCGCTTGGAACCGTCTGATCTCGTCGTGGCATCGTTGTCTCGACGTACGAAACCATTCAGTTTCGGAAGAGAGAGGGTAACTGGGCTTTATCGCATAATAAATTAATGGGTCGATCGATAGCTTTACACGTGGTGCACTTGGACGTTTGACACCGGCGCCCATTATGCTAACCACGGTCACGAATTTCGTTACGCAGACAACCGTTGGCCCGCGGGTGTATGAATTTCAGCCAATTACGCGCTACCTCGCTCGATCGGCCGGGAACAACGCGAGAACTTTGATCTTGTTGTTACGGGTGTCCGTTCCGATGCTGGTTGGCCCAATCGAAACTCGAAAAGACGATCATTAGTGGACGCTACATTGGAACGATGTTACCGGTGGCTGTTCCGCGGATTACACGGTCGTTTGGATGCAGTTCCTATCGATGTCTTCGGATACCACCTGACACTGTCACATTATCTTAAGTATCTCGTTCTTGGGATATCTCACGGTTCCATTTCACCGTATCAGTTTTATTTTAAGCGTTTAGACCGAACGGAACAAACGAGTCCGATCGTTGGCGCGTAGAATTCGTAAAGATTCTAACTATTTCAGCGTATTGGTCCTCTGCAATTTGGTCACCATTACCACGAACATTGCACTTTGTTGTTATATTTATTTTCAAACAGTCGAGTTCCATTCACTCCAAGAGTTATCACAAATTTTTAGCTTTTAACGTAAAATAAAAAACGAGTTAAATTGTTTTGAGAAATAGAGATTTCGAAAAATGTCTGAAGTAATCCTGACGATTGATTATTATAATTTATGAACGTACATTTGAATTTCTAACACGATTGGTAATTTTAATATTGTGCCGTTAGTCACCGATGAATTTATCCATGAAATAATTTCATCGGTAGACGACGATTGATTGAATATCGAATAGTAATTAGCATGCTCGACTCAAAATGATACGTTCCTCCGTGTATCGAATTCGTGTAATTGATTATGTTTGTTGTTACGAAATAGTTAATGGCCTTATTACTGTCCGTCGTTTCACGAAACTACATCGACGAGTCATTTCGACGTCTCGCTGTCCAGATAACGAATGACAGCAAATTCTATTTATTAATTAAACAGGATTATTATAAAATCGAGAATTGTTTTGTTTAAAGAAGAAAATAATTGTTCGTTGCAGGGGTACGAGCGGGATAGATATTGATCTACGCAGGCTGGACATAGATCAATGTCCTTTGCCGCCAGGATCGTCTCAGCTGAACATATTCGCAGCCAGCGACAAATGCAAGAAACGAACGACCGAGGTATAATTAAGTATTTCAACATATTTGTACATTAAATTTCGTCGGAGTTAACGAATTACGAGTTTAATGAGAAACCTGATTAATTGATATACGTGGAAACACGGAGATATAGTGGGTTGTAAATCAAATGCGTTTTCAACAGTAATTTCTCTTGAGATATTAACGTCGAATATTAATTACCAGAAAAATAATTGCGTCTCGAAAATTGGGTTCGAGGATAATTAACACAACATTTTTTTACTCCGGAGTAAATTTTAGTCATTAAAAAGATTCTTTAATCGGTTTTTAAGCAGTCTTCGATAGGAAGATCGTGGTAATTAGAAAATTTCTGAAAAAAGTGACTTTGCCATATTCGTATTGAACCCGTAAAATCTCATTTGCAGAAAATCGTTTCACCAATTACGTAGAAATTGAACTATTTTTAGCTTTCTCAGTTTCATTTGGACAGTCGATTCAACGTGTAAACGCGCGATTATCGGTTCTGGTTTCAGTGCATCGCCATTCCGGGACTCGGATTCCGTCGTGGCAGCTATCGTTGCGTCTGCAAACGAGGATTTTATTACCCGGATACAAAGTCTACCAGCCGATACTACAATGGCACCGTAATCGAGGAAGAATACGAAAAACTAATGATGGTACGTGTTTTTGCCTCATCGGATCACCTCGCCCTTATCGTGCAATTTTCACGTATCATTCGATACGATCGTCTTACAAAATAGATCACAACACTTTTCAATTCGAGCTTCAAATATTGGGAGTTCATTTTTGAAACGTTTCGATTCCTCAAACGTGTTACTAATATCTCCTTAAGTGTAAGTCTCTATTAGAAGATGATTAGAAAACCATGTCGTTTTCGACAACCTTGCAAAGGACTCCGATTATTGAGAGTTAATTTTTTAAACGTTTCGATTCCTCAAACGTGTTATTAATACCTCCTTAAGTGTAAGTCTCTATTAGAAGATGATTAGAAAACCATGTCGTTTTCGACAACCTTGCAAAGGACCCCGATTATTGAGAGTTAATTTTTAAAACGTTTCGATTCTTCGAACGTGCTACTAATACCTCCTTAAGTGTAAGTCTCTGTTAGAAGATGATTAGAAAACCATATCGTTTTCGACAACCTTGCAAAGGACTCCGATTATTAAGAGTTAATTTTTTAAACGTTTCGATTCCTCAAACGTGTTACTAATACCTCCTTAAGTGTAAGTCTCTATTAGAAGATGATTAGAAAACCATATCGTTTTCGACAACCTTGCAAAGGACTCCGATTATTGAGAGTTAATTTTTTAAACGTTTCGATTCCTCAAACGTGTTATTAATATCTCCTTAAGTGTAAGTCTCTATTAGAAGATGATTAGAAAACCATGTCGTTTTCGACAACCTTGCAAAGGACCCCGATTATTGAGAGTTAATTTTTAAAACGTTTCGATTCTTCGAACGTGCTACTAATACCTCCTTAAGTGTAAGTCTCTGTTAGAAGATGATTAGAAAACCATATCGTTTTCGACAACCTTGCAAAGGACTCCGATTATTAAGAGTTAATTTTTTAAACGTTTCGATTCCTCAAACGTGTTACTAATACCTCCTTAAGTGTAAGTCTCTATTAGAAGATGATTAGAAAACCATATCGTTTTCGACAACCTTGCAAAGGACTCCGATTATTGAGAGTTAATTTTTTAAACGTTTCGATTCCTCAAACGTGTTATTAATATCTCCTTAAGTGTAAGTCTCTATTAGAAGATGATTAGAAAACCATGTCGTTTTCGACAACCTTGCAAAGGACTCCGATTATTGAGAGTTAATTTTTTAAACGTTTCGATTCCTCAAACGTGTTACTAATATCTCCTTAAGTATAAGTCTCTGTTAGAAGATGATTAGAAAACCATGTCGTTTTCGACAATCTTGCAAAGGACCCGGATTATTCAGAGATAATTTTTGAAACGTTTCGATTCCTTAAGCGTGTTATTAATACCTCCTTAAGTGTAAGTCTCTGTTAGAAGATGATTAGAAAACCATATCGTTTTCGACAACCTTGCAAAGGACTCCGATTATTGAGAGTTAATTTTTTAAACGTTTCGATTCCTCAAACGTGTTATTAATACCTCCTTAAGTGTAAGTCTCTATTAGAAGATGATTAGAAAACCATATCGTTTTCGACAACCTTGCAAAGGACCCCGATTATTGAGAGTTAATTTTTAAAACGTTTCTATTCTTCGAACGTGCTACTAATACCTCCTTAAGTGTAAGTCTCTGTTAGAAGATGATTAGAAAACCATATCGTTTTCGACAACCTTGCAAAGGACCCGGATTATTGAGAGTTAATTTTTTAAACGTTTCGATTCCTCAAACGTGTTACTAATACCTCCTTAAGTATAAGTCTCTATTAGAAGATGATTAGAAAACCATGTCGTTTTCGACAACCTTGCAAACGGTCCCGCACAGATTTTATAGAAAATGGCCCCCGGTTAAATTAGCTGAACTTTTGATAGTTTGTGATGTCTTGATGAAAAGTTCCAAATGGGCCCAAGCTCGTAAATTGAACAGTTTCTGAGATATAGGGGATCAAAAGTCAATAATAGTGTGTAAGAAGCACTGTTGTACACTGTCTATTTACTTAACCCCTTAAAACTCAATAGTAGTACTGTGGGCCCTTAAATATTATCCCTTGACCCCCCGACCCTCTGACTCCCATTGAGGAGTCAAAATAAAAAAACTTCAAAAAGGTAAAAAATGGTTCTCTTTTTCAATGTAAAAACATGAAGCACCATCGACATTAGCATTACCCAGTGTGCACCACGAAGAGGTTGCTCGATCGGATTTTGCACATCATGTGGCCCCGAAAAGGGCCGTTTTTATAGTTCTCTCTATTCAGCCATAAGAATTTGAACATTCATATTGGTCTCTGGTCGTATTTAGAAGTTTGCCATCCGAATATTTGGCATGCCTTTGATGACCAGCAAATCCTAAATTTGAACATTCATATCGGTCTCTGGTCGTATTTAGAAGTTTGCCATCCGAATATTTGGCGTGCCTTTGATGACGAGCAAACTCTAAAAACCTTAAAACACTTGCAATATGTGTGCATGTACCCAATGTTTTGGTACCAGATTGACAGGTGCAGTAGTAACCATTTATTACTTCCTCTTCTAGTTCCCGTTCATTTTCGGGAACGTGAGAAATAAGAACTTTTAGTCCTCTAAGGCTGTTATCTACCAACGAAGTGTCAATCTGTAATTCATCGTCATCATCTTTGTGCAGCAGAGTGTCAGGGGGTCAAGGGGTAATATTTAAGGGCCCACAGTACCAGTATTGAATTTTAAGGGGCCAAATAAATGGACAGTGTACAACAGTGCTTCTCACACCCAAATATGCTCAAACATGGTAGTCTAGAATAAGGATCACTATTATTGACTTTTGATCCCCCGTATCTCGGAAACTGTTCAATTTACGAGCTCGGGCCCATTGGAACTTTTCATCAAGACATAATGAACTACATCGTATCAAAAGTTCTGCTAATTTAACCGGCGGCCATTTTCCATAAGATCTGTGCGGGGTCCTCTATAAAATTAGTCGAGGCTAAAAAGTAAATCGGCTCCTCGCGGATCCGCCGGCGACTGTTAACGTCGTGCCGTATCGTATCTCAGCTTTCCCCGTGCAGATTTAAAGATAGCTCCCGCGATAATTTGTCAACGTCAGACACCGCGAAGTAAAAATCTTGTAGAAATTACGGGGAGCGTGCCATTATTTCCAGGTCGCGGAATATTCATACGTATCCCTTTTCTTGCCAGGAGACTGGAAAGCAACCTCACCATAAATCAATTTCGCGATAGTCAACGTCGAGCATGGTTAAACACCCCCGAATCGATGTCGAAAGTTCCACCGGTATCGCTCGAATTCAATGGCGTCGTTTAAACCTTCCTCGTTGCGGAACACTGAAAGGATATTTCTGGCCGTTTGCTGGCTGACAAGTTTAACGTTGATCACGGTTCAATGGCGTGCACTTTGTGCGAAGTTTCGGCCAGCTCGTAGAAATTAAATTTATAGCCACTGGCCAGCGTAATTGAAGTGGCCTACGTTGTAAGAGCATAGCAAATATTCGCGAAAGGAGGTGCATTAATTTTGCTATTTGACTTGTGTTCCACGCGCGAACCGCTTCGAGCAAAATTTCAATTGTACGAAACGGAAGGAACCGCGACGGATACGAAGAAAATTGTTTCGCCATTAAATCTAGAGATTACATACTAAATAGGTAAACGCGTGAATCGATTTTAACCGAAATAGCATCGGCAATGGGATTCTGTGACTCTGGAGAGACTGTTTTGAGCAGTCCATTCCGACGAATGCCTTTGTCGGATCAATTCGTGGAGCGTTGGAATCGAGACGGTGGCTTCATTGGCACGATTAATTCACAGGATCTACGAAGTAAACGACCGATGTAACTGGATCAAAGGGAATTAATGTCACCGGAGAGATCAGGCCGCGGCTTCACGCAATATGACGTTCAGCTCAGGCCAAAATTGCAGCGGCTTGTCCCGATGGGCCCGCGCCCCGCCGTTGATAAATGACTCGCTGAACATGCATTCGTACAAAAGGCGAGCATTACCGTTCGTCCTTGGCGGTAAATAATATTCCCGCGACAGCCGGTGAAGGATTAACCTTTCGATGGCTCGCCAAGCAAAATGGCAATCACGGTTCCGCGGGGGCGTCGGTTTTAATATGCGGCACGCAACGACGAATGAAATCGCGCTGAGAAGTTCGCCACTAACCCTCCACCCCCTCTCCTCCCGGAAGTCTTTGTTCGCTTGTATGCTAATTTCGCAGCGGGGCGGTAATTTTGTTTTCTTTTGTGCCGGGGCGAAAATGACATTACTCTGTACGGTGGGGGGAGGGATTCAGTTTGCGAACGCTTGAGAATTCTTGGACCGAGGGAGTTAAATCTAACTGCATTAATTCTCGTCACTTGGAGGGATACGGGTGATTATTTATCGTTTCGACCATAGCGCGGGCTGCCATTTTGAGGGATTAAAGTTCTTACGCAGAGACACTCGGAGACTTTTTGGAACGATAATTTGAACGCTAAGACTTGGACACGTTCGCGGTCTTTCAAGGAAAGACAGCATACAGCTCTCGATTTTAAACAATTCGAACGAAACCTAATCACTCATCGGAGAACTGAATCCGTCGACGAAAATTGATTCTATAAATTCGTGTCCCGATGAGTGTGCATCAGCAGATAGAGACAACACATTCTGTGCACGAGTATCGAGTATCAAAATGTGAAATTAATGTTTGCCGATGTCGTAATGAACAAATTAATCTCTTCGTCCTTTGATTTCCCGCGTGTGTTCAAAGAGATATCAAATACGCGCTGCAAAATGTTGAATAAATCTTGCAACTTGAATAATTTCGAACAGTTTTTTTTTAAACATTTTAAGCTCCATACGTTGGGAATTCGAACAATTGAAATGCGTTCATTTTCGGTGAACAAATGCTGGCAAATCCGACTTTTGTATTCGTGGAATGTTCGACGAAAATATCAAAGAGAATATTTCAACTTCGATAACATTTTTGAAAATATTCCGTTTGACGTTCAAAATGAAATTCAGAGCTAAACGACGGTTAGACTGAAACAATT